GGTATACGAGAAAATGAAGACAAAAGGCGCATAACTAGTTAAGAAGTTAGACAAAAAAGCCGCCTATTAATAGCAAATAATATTTTACAAAATAAAAACGGTTTTTAAACATTTTACAAAGTAAATATTTTACAAAGTAAATAATTTATTTTTATTTTTTTGAAACTTTTTATTGCTTTAAATTATTAATTAAACATGTGTTATTAGTTGTGTTTTTTTGGTTTTCTTCGTTATAGCCATTGTGAGATTCAATCGGTTCTCACAGTATTCTTTCCATATATCGGCTCCCTTGCTCTCTACGTCATTCAAGCACTGCAAAAACCTATGGACCTTAAATTTGACCAAATTGTTCAGAACCCTTTCTTGCAAGGCAATTTCATAGAAACCATACTATCCAAGTAAGCTCAGATACATATGGCTCCTTACTTCTCCACCCTACATACACTTTTTTTATATTTCCCCAATTTATAATGATTTTTGATATCTTACTTTTACAATTATAATTTAGCGTTTTTATAGCTTGCTGGTTATTACAATAGCCTTACTTGAAATCAGTTTATAATTAATACTTCTAGTCATCTACATTAATTGATTATGTTGCTTCGGTGCTTGCTTTATTCTAGTATTTTTGTATGCCTTTATTGGAGATGTCTCTATTTATATTTATACCGTATGATAGTTCCATTTAGAATATATTATTTTATCATGGTCGTTTACTTACTTTTCTGCTAATTAATTACATTTAGCCCTTTGACTATGCTGATATTTATATCATAAGGCCCTAACAATTTAAGCGCTTTTCGTTAACTTTTTCTCCACGTTTTATTAAAATCCGACGAGTTCTCCAATCCCATTAGTTTACATCATCAGTTTTTATTTGTCGATGCTACAGCCTTTATATAATTTATCTCTTATTACATATACCTTAAGTTTCTCCTGTGTTTATTGATATTTTTTAATGTCGTTAGAGTTCTCACAATTAACCCTTCTCTTTGCTCTCTTATTGGTTATTTTAATGATTCAATTTAACCCCCAAGCAGATCATATATCTCCTTATCACAGTCCAATGGGGATACGACACCTCACCACAATGTCCTTATCACAGAATCGGAAAAAAAATGTTCCAATGCAACTTCAAATGAAACCATTAAGCCTACGCCAAATACTGTTAATGCAAACGATGTGGCAAAAGAGGTTGATTTGCAGTCATCTCTAGTATCAGAATCTTCCAGGGCCGAGTCCTTTTCATGCACTCCTAAAAATCAAGCAGCAAATTTTGAAGCTCAACAAAAGATAGCTCGAAACGCTAGTTATGCATCAACAATTGATTCAGTTATCAATGAAGCACTGAGAAGTGGATCTGATCTATCATCCGTGACCTTGTTCTCCAGCACAGTTCAGGCTCTAGAATCTTCTAATACCTCGATATCCTCCAAAGATGGCAACAGTGGATTACGTGCTTGTCAGTTTTGTGGAAAAGTCTGTAGTAGTGCCAGCAATTTAAAAACTCACGAGCGTCTCCATACCGGTATCAAGCCATTCAAGTGTCGGTTTTGTGATAAAACATGCACAACATCTAGCAACTTGCAATCGCACGAGCGAATACACACGGGTGAAAAACCATATCGCTGTCCAATTTGTGATAAACAGTATGCCAGCTCGAGTAATATGCAGGTATTTTTGCATACCTTAGTCTTCTTATTTAATTATTGTTAGGTCATATTATTTACATTGTTTCCGTCTGTACGTTCTTTTTAGGCTCATCAACGTATACATCTTAATCTTCGTCCGTATAATTGTGCATTATGCTCGAAGAGATTCACAACCTCTAGTAACTTACTAACTCATATGCGTGTCCATTCTGGCTTAAGACCATTCGCTTGTGATCAATGTGGAAAGAATTTTGCAACTTCCAGCAATCTGCATGTTCATAAAATTGTAAGCCCTATTCCATTTCTATTCTTCAAGTTGTTTTACATTCACAGGATAGATATTGTTCCAGAATTTTGGTATTTGGGAGTCATTAGCTAGTTATTTTTTGATGTTATATAATTGTGTCCCCATAGGTTGTTATTATTCTTCATTTTTCATGATGAAAACTGACGATTTGACACTACAAAATTGGATCTACTCGCAAAGTTGCTAGGCTGAAATTTTGCTATTCGAAGTAACGTCATACTATTAGCTATTTCTATTTTCTGATAAAATCATGCTTCATACTTAAAGCAGTTATATTTACAAGAAGTTTCGTGAGAAGATTTATTCGAAAAAAATCGAATATAACTAGTGATGTCATTTAATTTCTTAATTATTACTTGGAAGAAATGGGGGCAGCCCATGTATATACATGTATGTTTGCATCCATATTTTCTGTTAAAATTAATGTTTCGCATTTTTATTTTATAACTGATCTGAGCTTATGTAAATCTAGGATTTTTATTTGAATACTCTCGCTTCGAGTGGACTTTAGATAAGCTCTGTATTCGTTCTTCCTTTACAGGTTTTTCTGGACCATTAAAAAGTAATTCTTAATGTTATCTGATTTTTAGCTAATCCAAGGAAGTGGGCCCACTTCATATTCCTTACATCTCCCTATGTTAACTATAGTGACCCACATTCTTAGTCATTTTCCTTTAACGGTTTCAAAATCTACACAGTCTTTATTTACTGATTTCGCTTATATGTCCAAATACCAGCTTATCCAATTGATATCAATGGCTGCAGGTTAGACTGCAGCCCATCCTAGACGATACAGATTTATTGCGGGCGAAGTTATGTGAACTTTGGTGACACCACGAAGTCTACTCATTTCATAGTGGTAGAATCCAACTAGTCTTGCACCATCTTATACAACCTAAGGCTACTAAATTTCACATGTAAGATCTACTGATAGCCTTAAAATATACCCATCACATATACAAGTGATATTAACCGATATCATGAGCTCTTTATCAATTCAGCTATCTGTCTTTACATGATCCTAAGCAATTTAAGGTGATTCGGATTCTTTTTCATTCTAGTATTATATTTTGCGATACTCTGTCATGAAAATGTTTTTAAAAGTTTGCACGCATTTGTATATTTGGCTATTTAACAGATGACTCATTAATTTTTTTGGGCTAATTTTGAAACCGCTTGCTCTAATTTTCTCGATAGTTACTGCTTTCATTCCTGTATCATATTCATTTAAAAACAGTGAATAATGATTATTTACATAATCAATTTTTGCATTTTTACGATTATTTCAGGGTATTAAAATGATCAAACTCTAATTTGGCAAGTTATACCTAGGGACCTGTTCTGGGACCTAGATATAAGATAAAAAAATGGAGAATATCGTATTGAAGTTTTATAGCTATCC